GGCTGTGAGGTAACTGGGTGATGGGAATTTTTTAACTCCATTATAATCGTATGGGGCCACTGTTGTATATGTGGTCTGCACTAGTTGAATTGCCATTACCTGATGCACAACTCCATTTCCAGAGTCATCCCACCTCTCTTTCTGCAGAGGACCTGTTGCCTGGCAGATCAAAATATTAAGCAGAAATATATTTCTTGAGGCCTACATTATATGAGGAAAATAAGGGATTTTAGCAATCTGGTTTCACTTTTGAGTCTACATGCATTTCAGTCATTTGACCAAAGAAGCCCTTGGGAAATCTCTCCCCAGGAAGCCTTCTGGAGTGATTCAGAGAACTAAAAGCTCAGCTCTGTCTTATCCAGCTGGAACACGGGCAGATAACCGCTCTCCTGCTCCATCTCCTCCATGGTTCCTACATAAACAGGTGTTCAGTATATATATATGATGATTGTACAAGTGAATTCTTAAAAAGCATGTTGACTACCTATTATGTGTCATATCAGGAGAAGTACAAACTGAAATAAGACATGGACACTGGCCTCAAAGAACTTACAATCCAATGAATGATGCAGGTACTTCAGAAATGCCTCAATGTTCATCCAACTCTTCCCTCTGCCTCTGCCCTGGGTGAGCTCTGTGTTGGTGTCCATATGCACCCATCAGTTAAACATATTTGTAAAGTAACTACTGTGTGTGTGCCCAGAAGGTAGGGACATGGGCATGAAATACCTGGTTCCCACACTTAAGGATTCCACAAGCTATTAGAAATAAGAAAATGATGGGAGAGGAGAGCAAACCATATATATTTACAACTCTGTGTGATAAGTACAGTGAAGGAGGATTTGAGGGGCTGTTCTGGGAGCACATTGGATATATCATGTTGGAAGGCACTACAGCATGCAGAGGGAACCCTGGCTTCCAAATCTAGGCAGGCTACTTACATGTAACCTGAGACTCGACTCAATGTACTTACTTCACCTCCTGGTCAAGATCAAATGAGATAATATGGGTTAAAACTCTTAGTGAACTGTAAAGGACCATTCAAATGTTAGTCAAGGAATTTCTTTTTGACCTTGCCCTCTTTATCCATAGCAACATTATAGGGCTGGCTTATTTGATTAGAAGATGTATTTCTTTTTATTTAATTTTTATTTTTTGCATTACAATTCTTAATACATCTTTTACCACAATTTATCATGTCTCTGATTGTATATAAGGTATGTTGACATCAAATTCACATCTTCATACATGTATTTTGTATAATGATGAGGGTCTTCTTTCACCTTCCAGAAGGGGAATCCCTTCTCCCTCCCTTTCCCTCCCACCCCTATAGAAGATATATTTCTCCCATTCCTTTTTTAGCATTTTCAGCAGTTTCTTTGCCTGGTGGTTTTATTTGGTTTTTGTTAAGGAGAAGCTAAATTAACCTCAACTATATCCACTTTGGCCCTGGGTTCTGGAGCCTGGACACTTAGTGAGAGCCTAGCAGAGGCCCCTGGCTCTGATCAGGAGCCAGAAGAGGCTCCTAAGCAGATAGTGCAGCACTGAGCTCACACTGAGAACAGCTTGCTCCTAGAATGTCATTCTCCCCGCAGGGAATTCCAGCTGGCATGGTCGGATGTTGCATTTGTTCCAGCAAGGGGTTGCCTCTCATGCAATATAATTACACTAAACGTGCCAGAAAATTTTGCGACCTCTATTGACTTGAGAATACCTTTCTCAGTGATATAAAAATTCTTGAGCATCTAAAGAGACTTTTAAAAAATCATTCTTAGTTTTGCCTTAAATATAACAAAGAAATGATTTTATTGTTTTTACTTTTAGATGAACTCCCGACTGGATATTATAATACTAATTTAATACAATACATAATACTATTCCAAAAAGAGAAACAGATGTTGGTATCTGCTTTTGACAAATGAGTCAAGCTATTAAATTAATTTGAAATAATTGTCAAAAATGAATTGTTGATGAATAAATTTTGAGGCTACATTATGTTTGGAGGGTTCCATAGGAACATCAGAACACAGACTGAAATTTACATGATGAATGATGCCATCAAAAATAGACACAACTGGGGCTGTGGTAGAGCGCTTGCACATGTGAGGTTCTGGGTTCAATCCTCAGTACACATTAAATAAATAAATAAAATAAAGATATTGTGTTCATCTACAACTTAAAAAAATTTTTTTTAAATAGACATAACTGTCCGGAGTGATGGCACATGCCTATAATTCCAGTGATTCAGAAGACTGAGGCAGGAGGATAGCGAGTTCAAAGCCACCCTCAGCAACAGTGAGGCTCTGAGCAACTCAGTGAGATGCTGTCTCTAAACAAAATACAAAAATAGGGCTGGGGATGTGGCTCAGTGGTTGAGTGTCCCTGAGTTCAATCCCTGGTACCCACCCCCCCCCATAAAAATGACATAATTCTTTTTTATTACCTACCTTTGTGAATTCTTGATGTTTCCCTTGAATTGTTCTGATACATTTTAGTGTTTTGTTTCTAAATGGCAAGAAAAGGAGAAAGGCTTTTTGTTCACTATTTGCAAGCATGTCTCAGAAAACAAAGCAAATGGATGTGGCAAGTGTTTTCATCAAATGAAAAGTCACATTCCATATACTGTCACTACCACTTGCAGAATTATGATCGTTTGGAAGAGGTAATTAACTTACTGTACATCAACATGGATGTTCCACAGGCCCTCTGGCCTACCATGGAAATAAACAGCCCTATATGATCAAGTATAAAACAATGTGCAACTTTCTTGTCAACGTGTGGGGCTTGATCAGATAGATCCTCATTCAAAGACATAAACCGCAAGAATCAGGCGTTGGGAATAATTATGTAAATTTGAAGATGGATTGGGTACTAGATAATATTAAGGAATTAATATTAATTTGATTAGAAGTTATAGCAGTATTGTGGTTAGAAAGAAAAATTTCTTATTCCTTTGGGGTGCATTCTGACGTGTTCAGGAAAGAAATGTCATATGCCTGGGATTTGTATTAAAATACCTCACAAAAATTTGATAATGGATAAAATCAAATATGGCAAAATACTAAGAACTATGGAACCTTGGTAATGGATGTATATGGGCTCCTCAAATTTTTCTCTTTGCTATTTTGTTAATTTGAAAATTTCCAAAACAAGTCAAAAACACCACAAAATCCAATAAATGATAGTCATATGTGGTCTAACCCTCACACTGTCCCCTCTAGAGGCTGCTGGTATTGAGTGGAGTGCTAAAGCAAGTCACACAAAGTCCCAAGCATGCCCCACCCTTCCCCTCTAGCTATTGCCCATCTGACAGTCATAAGAAGACTCTCACACTCTTTTGTCCTTTTATTCATTGCTCCTGAGTTTTTAAAAATAAAAGTAGAAACAGATATCATTAGTCTCTTTAACAACCTGAATGCAGAGGAACAACCTTCTGACCCTGGTGAGTTTGAATATCACTATTGAATCAGCTGCAGCAGGACATTGGTCATTGGGGAAGCTGGTGGGCTCTGTCATGAGTGAGATTGGCAAGGAAGGTTTTAACTGGTAGTCAGTCACTTAAACTTTGTTTTAAAAGGACACCACGTTGAAAGCCTCAGGTCTTCCTTTTCTCTGGGGAGAACAAGTATGTGTAAGGTGATAGAGAAGAAAGAAAAGAGTAGATGTTCTCTGAGCCAGCCTCTTGAACCTCCTTCCAGGTGAACCATGACCCTCCATTTGTCTAATGAAAACATGCTGATATGGGTCAGGGCACCCAGAAAGCTCATGGCTTGTGGCTTTGTTCTAGCTCTCCCTCAACACTGTCACTCCTTCCAACTGGGTGGCTGCTTACCAAGAGTCTCTTCTATTTGTTCCAAAAACTTGTTGATGCCAGTTGTTCTTATTGATATAATTACAGTACACACAAAGCAATCAGCTGGAGTGTGGAACTCCCATCACTCAACCCATACATGTCACAGAGAAGTGAACATAGCTTGGACCTACATCCAAAGTTTGGCAATTGAATGAACTTTCTAATGTCTTCCAATCAGATACATTTTATTTTAAGGTGTATATTTTCTTTAAGTGATTCTCAGCTCCTCCCAATTGTTCAATAAGCCAATAAGCTTCTTCATCTTTATAGCACTGAATGAGAGGGTTCCACCATCCAATGATTTTCTGTTCAGATTTGAGTGAAAATCCAAAACGTGATCATTTAAAAAAGATTTTTTTTTTTTTTGAGGCTGAGGCAGGAGGAGCACTGGACCTATGCGTTCAAGACCAGCCTGGGTAAAGTGGCTGTCTCCAAAATAAAAGGAAGGGGGGTGGATTTCCACTGAGCTTGGTCAGGAAATATATGAATTCACTCCCTATTGTTTCACTTCCTTCTGGCATTTTATTTAGATTATTAATAAGATCCACTTGCATTTTCTAAGCATGCACTGGTAGTTAGGGACACTTTCCCCCAACACAGGGGAGGTATTGATCAGACCACAGGAATGGAGATGCGCCCCTAGGATGTCCCATTATAGCCCAGGGTTCAGGGACTCAGGGGCAGAGACTTCAGGAACAATCTGACTGTCTATGTAGACCTGGCTGCACTTTAAGACAGAAGAATCTGTCCCAGTCTGAGTTCCAGCTTCCTTACTCACTAGCTGACAAGAGTGGATGCAGTGGTCTGTTGCATCTGCCGGCTCTGCCCACCCACGAGGCTGTGACCCACCGCGAGGGATGAGATCAGGAACAGAGAATGGACACTATTCCACAAATCGCTTATCATTACCAAGGAAGGGAATGAAGGATATTCCTAAACTTGGGGTGATATCTTGCAAAAAAAAAAAAAAAAGATAGGGCAACTCATTGTAGGAAATGGAGATGGGACTTGGGTCTCTCTATCAAGACCTTGAGACTCTGTGGGGTTGGGATGGGGGTGGGGCCACCTGCTTCAGCAGCTTCACGCCCTGACTCTCCTGACTTGGTCCCAAGGTCAGAAAAGGGTGAGATGGGGAGAGGTCGTTCCATTTTACAGCAGCATCTTGGGATAGGGCCGCCTCTGATCTCTTCATCAGGGTTTGGGGGAGAGGTTCCAGGACCGACGACCAGGTCACCGGCCTATCATGCCCTCCTGCAGGTGTCTCGGCTTTGAACAGGGGCGTGGCCGAGGTCAGTCGGCCTTGGGTGCCCGAAACTCAGGCATGCTCCAGGTGCGGGACGGCCGCGGCGCGTCGCGCTCCACGTCCTCCGAGATGGTCCGGATGTCGCTGGCGAAGGGCGAGATGCGCGCGCGGCTCTTGAATGTGCCCAGGCTGCCCCGGGGTCGCAGGCTCCACTGGCGCGTCAGCTTGTGGGCCTCCTCCTCCTGCTTCATCCTCTCCAGGACCTCCTGCAGCACCGAGCGGAAGAGCCCGGACACCTCCTGCACTTCGGGCTCCTGCTCCGCCAGCAGCTGTCGGAACCTGGACAAAAGAGGGGGCGCCTTGGGACCCTTGCGGGGTGGCACGTGGCGGGCCTCTAAACCCTGAGGAGCCGCTGTGTCTCCCTGAGGTCAATTCCCCTTTAGTCCATTTCACCTGCAACTGAAATCAAACAGCAATCACCCCCGCCTCCCTATTCCCCCAGCCCATCCTGAGTTCAAACCCTAGTTCTGCCACTTCTGGCCTCCCTGAGCCTCTGCATCCTCATCTGTAAACGGGGTGTAGAGGACTTTCCTACCTACCAGAGAGGTTTCATGTGCCCAAGTATGTAAAGATCCCGACACTAACCTAAGGTGGTCAATGCCCAAGTATTCTGGGGAGCCCACTGCCGTGGCAATTTTACTGTGAAAGACTTTCTGGGTTAACCCTCTCCCTTTTCTTCTCCACACACTACCTATGTGATCTTTGAAGTGAGTATCTGATTATGTCACTGCCTGTAACGGTGACATAAACTGCCTCCCACAGCTTCTCTGTCACCTTCTGGATAAGGGGGAGCTAGATGGCCGTTCACGTAGGGCTCCTCCTGTTACTTCCCCCAGATGACCCTGCGTTACAGCCAGGAAGGATCCTATGGGGTTCCCACAGGCCTGGGTTGCACCTGGGTCCCTGGGTGTTTTCCCAAGCTGTTTCCATTTCTTATAATGTCTTTGCTTAGCGCTCAAGAATCAATGTTAGTGAGTCCATTGAATACCTGGTTTCCTCTCCCATATTGAGAGTCAGGACTTTGCAACTTCTTAGCAATGATGTGAGGTGGGAAAGGTATCAGGACAGTCATTATCTCATTACCTTGTGAGTGTTCCCAGTCTTTCCTTCACTTAGGAGGCTTGATTTGCAACTGAGTCCCCCCATCAGCATCCCACCCCTGTCCCCAGGTGCTTCTGGAGTAGGTCTATTGGGGGAGTTTCCATGGTACAAAATCAGAAAAATGGGGGGAGTGGCTAGGATTCTCAGCCTGGATAAAGGTAAAAAGACTACAAAAGGAGCCAGGATAGGGCTGGAGAAGGCATTCTAAAGAGGAATTTTAAATGGAAACGTGTACCATAGATGCTTACATTGGCTAAAGAGATGGGTAAGGGGAGATTTGAGGAGTCAGGGGAATTTTTACATGTTTTATTGTTGTTTTGTATTCCTTTACAAAGAGAAATACAGATAAAAGAAATTGAGTTATTTTGAAATTATTTTTGGCTGTTGGACTGACTATGTGCTTCTTTGACTTCACCAATCTGAGACAGGACCCCGTGGGTCACCGCTTCAGGGAGGTTACATTTATATTCAGGAATATTGTTTTATCCAAGCTCTAAATGTTCAGTGCCCCAGGACTCCGAACCCATCACACACACTCACAGTCACCTTCACACCTTAGGCAGACTGGTGTGAAATAGGATGATGAAGACAGTAATTTTGGAGATTGTCTGGGAAAACTCCTCTAAGAAAGTAATAATGATCATAAAATGATGAAAAAGGAGAAGCCAGCTGTTGAAATCCAGGATACTAATAATCCTGGCAGGAAGAACAGAGAGTCCTCACTCACCAAAACTCAAATGCCCCTAAGAGCTGCCTCTGCCTCTCACTGAAGCCCATGCCCCAACCTGCTGCTTCATGCTGTCTCTCAGCTTCCTCTTCCTGCCTTGCTCCTTCTGACAGATTAACAGTGTCATCCAGGACCCCTGGGTCTAGTCCTGGTGGCCTCAGGGCCCTGCCTGGAGCTGCAGCCCAATAGCTGGTCCCTGTCCCTATGCCATGGATTACCTGAGGATGGCAGGCCCACAGTAGGATGGGTGGATCTTGGCACAGACATCCTCCAGTTGCAGCCGCTCCCCTGGGCTGAGGTCATAGGTAGACCGGGGTGTGCTGGCCAGCCAGCTGTAGTCCACACCAGTGCAGATCTTCCTGACGGAGTTGCTCCGCTCCCGTTGCTGCCTCTCAGCCTCTCGCATCTGCCCCACCAGCTCCATCATGAGCGTCTCCAGCACCATCTCAGCAGGGCTCCTGGATGACAGCCGGGGTGGGGGCTCATTCCATCGGAACCATGGGATGAGAGACATGGCCCCTCCAGGCCCTGCTGAGACAGAATGGGAGTGTGTCTTCCCTGGGCCCCTCTGTCAGGGGGAGAATCCAGGAGACCAAGGGGTAGGGAGGAGAACTGAGCCTAGCCCTCACAGCTGAGCACACTTGGGTAGCTGGCTTAACCTCTGTGAGCACTCATTTCTAATTCTGTAAGACAAGACAAGGCTGTGGTGAGAAGTGGTTGTGAATAAATGTGATATACAATAAGCACCACATAGAAGTCATATACTCACTCATGGTTATAAGGATTCTTAAAAAGCATTCTGGGGGCTGGGGATAGAGCTCAGTTGGTAGAGTGCTTACCTTGCAGGCACAAGGCCCTGGGTTCAATCCCCAGCACCAAAAAAAAAAAAAAAAAAAAACGATTGGGCCCAGAGAAACTGCTTCCTGAATCCCCACAGCTCCAAGCAGGAAACACACTGTACATGGCTGAACACAATTTTATCCCTCTGATTGAAAGGGGGAAATGCATAAATACACAAGCACACACACACTTAGAACAGATACTTACATCCTGTCCAACCAAAGAGGAAAACACCGTTTCCAAATGCCTCCAGCCTAGTGTTTGGACACCTAGAACTGTATAGGGTTGACATTATCCTGCTAAAACCTGGCTTACCCACTATATTCATTCATTCATTCATTCAGCAAACATTCATTAAGCCCTATGGACCCATCTGTGGGGGGATACAACATGAGAGTGCAGAGGGACTCTGTTCTCCAGGAGATTCAAGACTTGATGAATAAAAACGAAAACATCAGTGAAACCAGGAACCCATGATTGGCAAAGCAGAGTCAGTATTGATGGGGGAGGGGTGGGTCTAAGTGATGAGAACAGTCAGGCAAATCTTGTTATGGACAAGAGCAACCAGAAGGGTGAGTGCCGGCTTCAGACAAGTGGGCTGAAGGCGGCCCAAGTGGAGAATCCAGCCACGGTACAAGGACTAGCTGAGCAGGACATCAGGAATGAGAGCAGGGACCTTAATTTATCATCATACTCTCACAGGTCCCTGCTCAGTGCAGATTTTGTGAAGGAAAGACCAACTAGATAGATGGATAAATAAATTAAGTAATAAGTGAATGAACTGCTATGTCTGCCTCACACCATTGTCCGTCAGAAGTGAGTTGTGTCTCTGACAACAAAGAAGGGACGTGCCATCCTGAGCTAAAGTCTAAAGCTGGTCTTCAGGGTGCTCCACCTCCCCTGTCTACATCTTCCTCCCTCCATGAATGACCCATCCTCCTCCTGCCCAGGCCTTCCAGATGCAGTGAAAAGAGATTTGAGGAACTCAGTCTTGACAGAGTGGTCATGAGCGCTTTCAAGGGTCTAAACTTAGAATCACACTAAGTAAGTACTTTCAATTCTTGAACAAATGCCACCTTAGCTCTTAGCTTACACTTTGCTTCCTTCAGGAGAGTTTCCTGCGTCCTGTGACTCAGAGCTAGTGCCTGTTGTCTCTGCTGCCAGGCTGCTCTGTGCTGAGCCATCAGTGCTCAGTCACAGCACTCTGTGACTGCCTGTGGGCCCTGGTCCCTCTGCAGACTGAGCAAGAAAACCTGTCTGTGCATCATCCTACCAACATCCAGCACAGGGTCTGGCCCACAATAAGTACCTCATGAACATATATAAATATGAAATTATTGTAAATAGATGGTATTATTTCTCCAATAATCTATTACACAAAAATTTTGCATAATTATATGGTTTTGTGTATGTGTGTGTGTGTGTGTGTTAGTTTTCAGTCGCTATGACAAAATGCCTAAGAAAATCATCTTAAAGGAGGAAATATTCCTTTTGGCTCAGAGTTTAGAGGTTTTAGTCTTCAGGTCGCCTGGCTCTGTTGTTTCTGGGCAACAGGTGTTTTGAGGCAAAACATCACGGTGGAAGGGTGTGGTAGAACGAAGTTGTTTACCTCATGGCAGCCAGGAAGCCAAGAGAGAGTGAGAGGAAGGGTCTGGAGACAAGATATACCCTTCAAAAGCACACTCCCAGGGGAACCTACTTCCTCAAACTAGGTACTAAAGTTTCTGCAACCTCCTAATAGCCCCACCGGCTGGGGACCAAGTCCTCAACACAGCAGCCCTTGGAGGAACATTCCAGATCCAAACTATAACAACTGTCCAAACTATAACATGTGTGTGCACACACACACACATGCATGTGAGCACATGTGTGTTCAAGTGTGTTACACAGCTGGGTTACAAATCTACCTGGCGGGGGGGGGGGGTGGTTCTTCCCTCCACCAAATTTCTTACCATTCCTAAAGCCCACTTTTGAGGAACTTATCTTTGGGTCACAAACTGCCCTCCTTAGAGGCCTGGCTTTCTTCTAAGTGTGGCTTTGCATTTGAGATAAAAGGAGGCAGCAAGAGAGTAGAATGGTAACAGAGGGTCTTTCTGGGGCTGAGAAAAATGTGGCTGAAGGAAGGAGAGGCACCAAAGACAATACTTGCCTCCATGACAAATTGATCCCAGAACACCACACCAAGGCCACTGAAGGCCTGGTCAGTGCAGTGGGGGCTGAGCAAGGCACCCACCTGACATCTCTGCAAGGGGGAGCCAAATGGAGGCTCACCTACCATCATCACATGTCCATAGATATATTTTTACATAATATGTAAGTATGTATATATTTGTAACTAATGTTATATGGAGTTATAGATATTTATTAGACTATATCATGAAATTATTGTAAATAAATAGATGATATGATTATTTCTCCAATAATTATATAATTATTCTATATCCCACAAATGTATATTTATTTAGCTCATAAAATTATATGTATATATATATATATATATATATATATATATATGGTCTATATTTAATTCTAAATACTATTAAGTTAACAAAGTATTGAATAAGACATGTTCTGCTTCCTTCTTTGTCAAATTTACCTTCGTAACGACGTGGACAGATTCGCACTGAGAATGCTTGGCCTCCCCAGAATTCAGGGATCCTGGCCTGCAGCCTGCCCTTCTTCTCTCCCCCACTCCTGGCTCCCTCCTACACCAAGAAGGGACCTCGCAGACATGCACGGGGACACCCCAGCCTTCACACTCAAGGCCCATCCTCATCCTTGTGAATAGCAGATTTTTGCCACCCTCAGGCCTGGGCTCTTCGAACCAAGAGTCATCACTCTCGGGGGATTGAGAGGGCAGAAGGTGCCTGCACAGTGGCTCCTTCTGTGGGGACAGAGGTGGCAGCTGTCTGGTGAGGAATTCCAGATCTCAGCCTCTCATCCCTGATATGGAGGTGAAGTGACCCTAGGATTGGCATATCTCCTGAACCCCCAGACTCCAGAAGAAAGCTAGGGCAGAGTCTGAAGTGCAACCTCATGGGGGTCCCTATTCCTTGGGGACAAGAGTTGGTCTCTAAAGGGGAATGAAGAGAATGGAGGGGGGTGGGAGTAGGAAAAACAGTAGAATGAATCGGACATCACTTTCCTCTGTTCATATATGAATACGTGACCAGTGTAACTCCACATCATGTGCAACCACAAGAATGGGAAGTTACACTCCATGTATGCTTGATAGGTCAAAATGCGCTCTACTATCATGTATAACTAAAAGGAACAAATAAAAAGAGTTGGTCTCTAGAGGCAGGTAATTTGACAAAGGGCAGGGTCTGTGGGTTCTGAGCTTCTCAGACCCAGTGGTGAGGGTCTCACCACTGGGAAGGGGAGGAGAGTTTTCTGCATTGTCTCCTCCCCACCCCCCACACTTTCCAACTCCAGCCACAGCAGAGGCTTTACTGAGACAGGAGCTATTTCTGTCCTGGTGCCAGCTGCTCCCACAGGAGGTTCTCAGGCAGGTCTGATTAAGTTCTTATGGGCAAAGCCGGGAGAGAGAGACAAAGGGAGGGAGAGAGGGAGGAAGACACAGAGCAGGGACACAGTCAGATTCCAGAGATGGTTGCTTTTTCCCAGCCCTCTTAGGACCTGATCCACAGCTGAGACTGATTCCAGGGTGTGTGTAGTCTGTGAACGGCAAGAGTGACCTGTCCTGGACTTTGCACAATTTGGGTTTTCCTCTCCCTTGCTCCGGATGAACCACCATGGAATAGCCAAACTTTTCCATGTGAGCTTCAAGGGCCCCTCACTCTCAGAACCCTCCTGTGAGGAAGGCCAGCTTCCCCTCAGCCAGTGGTATTTAGAGTCTGCCTCAAACATATGCACATTGACACCTTTTAAAACACTGGGGGCAACTTGAACGTGAATTGGATGCTGGGGGATGATTGTTAAATTTTCTGAAGTATAAAAACGGTATTCAGGTTTAGGGGAAAGCTAGGATGGGATCGATGCCAGAGTTCGTGGGTGTCCACAATATTCTACATTCAAGTCATTCAGACAGTGCGACATATATGTACACACACATAGAAATAGGGAAATTAAGGCAAAATACAAACAATTGTCTTATGGAGGTTTTTGAGGGCTCTTATTGTGCTATTCTTCCAACCCTTGCACATATTCAAAATTTAAACATTGGAAAAATATCTAGCTCAACACAGACTTTTTGCAGGCACCTTTCCCTCTAATTCTATCTGGTGGGCTTGCTTCCTCTCAGCACCTCTGCCCCCATCTATATTCATTCATTTGTGGGTTGCTGGGTGTCTTTCTCCAAGAGGTCCTGGTCATCAAGGCCATGGGCAGTGGGTGTGCTGGGAAGGCTTGGGGTCTGGAGATAGAAACCCAGCAACACAAGGCCTGAGTTCTCTACACTTCGGCCTCAGCAACCTAGGGCCAGTATGTGTGTACTGTACCTGTCCCTGTGCTGGGTGCTGGGCTCCTGGGGAGTGTGCATTCAAGAGAAAGAGGAAAACAAACAGACCAGTGATTGCAAAGCTCCTGGAGGGGATGACACCCACATACCCCAGGACACTTCTGGGCTTCAGCAGTGCAGGCATCCAAGGGCCGACCCCAAAGCTCCTGCTGAGCACTAATGTATGATTTTGTTCAAGTTCATTACCTCTCTAGGCCTTGGTTTC